TACAGATAAACGGAAGTAACTACTCTGATGGAAGCTAAGCTGGTTAAGCACAATATGCATAGGAAATTAGTTATTTAGCTACTAGTATGCTCTCCAGAAGAAGAACTGCAAAGCTCTTGTTTAAAAATCACACCAATCCATCATGGAGGTTTTTGCGTGGCACCAGAAGGATCTATAAAAGTTTTACATTATTCCTCATTCAAAATTTACCATGGGGCCTCTTGGCAGCATGTGCTAAGGGACTGAACTGCAACTGCTGTGTAGGAAAAAATAATTTCTGCTTTTCCTAGCAGGGCTGATGACTTTGGCTCCAGCGGCTGCTATAAGGTGTAGTTCCTTTTGCTGTACAAGAAGGCACAGTCTGAGCAGCCCAGCACTGCAAACAGGCAGGGTCTTGCCATTGCTCGCTTCTTATTCAGAGCCTGCATAGATGAGCTTGTTTAGCCACGGATGAAATTTGGGCCAGATATAGAAATAATGGGGATTATTTGCAGAACAGTGGCCTGTTCCAGGTCTCCTCTTGAGGCAGGTGCTAGAGCAGTGGAGGTTCAAGAGGATTTGGGGGGTTGGACTAGGTGACCTTTAAAGGTCTTTTCCAGCCCAAACTATTCTATGATTCTATGATTCTATGATACCTGTGGTTTTTTAATTAAATGCACTTTGAATATATCCTTGCTTTCCAACTCCCACCAAAACTGTAAATGTACCTGTCCAAAACCACTAAGCTTCTCCTACGTTGGCGGACACTTTTTTCATAGCAGAAGTGTTGGCATAGCTACCCAACTGGAAAACAGAAAAATGTTTTGGGTCTTATTCAGCCAACTACAGTTCCTCAGTACATCCAAAACACCAATATTTAGGTTTAGTTTAACCTGTCAGAAATTGGTTTGAAATTGTGATCACATATTTCTGCAAGCAGAAGACATCTAAATGAATGGAATGGGTGGATGGATTGGTGCCTAGTATTTCCTCTATTATGTACTTTGATGTCATTTTGAATAGTGTGCCAAGATC